CCGGGCCGGCCCCCGAGCCCACGCGGGGCAGCACTGGCCCGGGGCAGGGCACCCGCCCTCCGGGGAGCGGAGCCCCGGGGCGTGCAAAGCCCAGCACAGGGAGCGGACTGGGGACAAGGCTGGCGGCGGGACAGGGAGGATCGGGTGTGCAGGAGCACCGCCGCCCCGCACTCAGGTCCCGCAGGGCCAGTGACAGCCCACGTCCGGTCCTCAAGGCCCCCGCTAGCCGCCGGCTGGCCCGAGGCACCTCCCAGCTGCTCCGCGGGGCTGGGGGCACTGCGTCCCATTTCACAATTTTCTTTCTTTCTAAACAGCCAGGAGAACAACGCGCGCCCACGATAACGAGCACCGACTGCTCCTGACCGCGGATCTCACTGGAAAGCCACTAGAAAGACGTTCAGGCAGGCGGCCCCGCGGCCGGGAGCAGCCTCCCGAGGGCCCGCGGGATCCACAGCCCTTTCCGAGGGGCTGCAACAAGGCCTCAGCCCGCCACACAACAGGCCTGGCTGGGAAGGGAAAGCTTTAAATACTGGTGATGACCGTGACATTTCCAGTCCAATGTCTCCCAAGGAGAAGCCGGTCCCCGGCTAGCCCTGCCCTGTGTGTGCAGGCGCGCCTGGCCTGAGCGCCTGCGGGGGGGGGGGCAGGAGCTGTTGCCTAACAAGAAAAAACAAATTATTTCTTTCCTAAAGTCCAAGGCACAAACCGCCTCCAGACGTTAGCCACCGGCAAAAGGCGAATCCTGCTCGGTCCCACGGACCCGGGCCTCCCGCATGGGCCCACGGAGGTGCCTTGTCCGTGGAAGGCACGAGCGGGGCCACGACGCGTCGCAGTGCGCACCTGCCAGCTCGGGGCCTCCAGGCCGGTCAGGCTGCGCGTTTCAGGGGGACGGAACAGACAGGCCCCGAGCCTGGAGGGCTCTTCTCGTGCAGGTGCATCTGGTGGCGTCGAACATTTCCAGGCACATTTAGAAGCCAGCAGCTATTCTAACACAATCAAAGAGAAACGCAGTGGTCAGTTCAAGCCATGGCGCGTTTGGGTCTGTGAGTGTTCAAATACCAGAGAAACGGCAAGCCAACATCTGGAAATACTGCCTGGGCAGTTCCCTGCGCACTGCTCCTCGCCCCTAGGCCTGAAGTGTGTGCCCCCCCGGAGCAAGAGCCCATGCTGAACCTTGCCCCCAGACAGATCCGCGGCATCCTTTCTTTCCCTTGCTCGCACTCCGCGCCCTGCCTCCAGCAAAAACTCGCGTGGAAGCCAGAGACAGAATCTGGACTAGGAGTTGGGAATTTCTAAAGCTATTTTTAGGCGGAGATAAAACCTTGTCTGACAATTAACTGCAGGCAGACTTTCTACTCATTTGCCAAGAAAAAAAAAAGTATTCATTAAAATTCATTTCTCAGTAATAATGCTACCTATTTCTCGCACGGTTTCGGTTCCCTTAGCCAGAGTCTGTGACATTTACTGGAGTTTTAGTACGAGTTGTCCTGAAGAGCTCACTCCTGAGCAGCAAGAAACACGGGACGCAGATTTCTGAGCAAACATGGGCATCAAACTTTCTAATGGGTTTTGTCCTCAAATATTACAAAGTTCAAAAACTGAAGACTGCTATTTTTAATTTGGAATTCACTCCAGAATCTAATAAAATGAGAGAAGTGAGGCGGAAATAATCATGTATTAATTCTCTGCATTACAAAATCTTTTCAGAAGCTATTATCAGAGCAAGAGGCATTGTGGTTTGGATTCAGGGTGGGAGAAATCCTTTGTGCAACTGAAAGCTATTGTTCCTCTGTGCAGATGAAATTGTACTTGCAAATCTGCCATTCACAGGGGGGAGTGCCTAGCCAGAAGAAAGGGATTCTGCCAGAAAATAATTATTCTTAAAAA